ATATAATTTACCCAAAAAAAAAATATTCAAACGGATACGGATAAAGATACAGATACACATCCTTCGCCAAAATAATCATTACAAAACAACAAAAGGATAAGTCCACGCACATGCAATTAGTTGTACTTGAAGATGGAAACCTGATCGAGAAACATTATAAAGAATATAACTAATTTTTTTTTTTTTGGTAGGTTTTACTAGACATAATATATATCTGTAATTTCGAACACTTTTAAAGTCCGAATTTATTAAAAAGTCGAGAGAATTGAAGGAGAAACATGAGTAATTATCATTAAAAGTAAATAAAAAAAGCAAAGATTAAATATTAGTAAATAAACTGCACAAGTAACGAGATGAGAAACGAACCGATTTCATGTATACAAAAATAATTGTACATTTTTTTTATTACTAACACTATTAAAAAAAAAAAACAAAAAAAGAATCAAACGAATAACAAACTTTAGACGATAGTTGTGACTCAAATACGTCGTCGTACCACAAAAAAAAACATTTATTAAAAATAAAAATTAAAAATACAAAATAGAAGTGAAAGATTGCAGTTGAGTCGAATGAAAGATACAAGATGAAAAGATACAAAGATACGAGAGATGTTTATCAACGGATTGCATTGTGCATGCCAAGTGTTATGACCCCCGTTAACGACAATGGCCAACAGACACGCATCAAACATAAATATATATAAATAATATAATTACATGTATACAAAAAGAAAAACACTAATTATTAATAAAAATTTAAAAAACAAAAATCCCCTGTAGTTTAATTCTTTAAAACTGGGTTTTTTGGGGTTAGTATGTCAGAACTACGCTAGGAATGACTTGTTTTATATATTCTTGGAAGTCGTATGATTGCAAAAATGGAAAATAAAATGCTTTTAAAAGAAATAGATGTGGTTTTCTAAGGAATTCTAATGACCCACGGGCACGAATAGATATAGAAAAACATTGATTTCCAAGAAACATAATCACTATAATGGCCATAGAGTACTGAGATCACATTGAAATGTATTAATAAAGACTATTTTGCTTTTCCAAGAAATATTTTTATTTTTATAGATTCTTAAAATGAGTAGGTTTTGTGTTACTCAGAGGTATATAGTTGGGATTATCTTTCTTTTATTTATTGATTATATATTATATTTTTAATTGCATTTATGCAAACATAAATAATTCATCTTTTTTAAAAGAAATGTGATTTAATCTCTGAAACATTTAAAATTTATAAGCTATATTATCTTTAAAACAAAATAAGCTTTAGAGTGAGCTTTAGGGGGGAAATGGGTTTAAAATCGTAAGAAATGCTTAGTTTTTCTTGCTAAATCCTCGCTTTAGGTTTAAAATCTTTGTTTTTTACTGAGAGTTTATTGTTAAAACAGCATGGTTTACATTTTAACTAAAAACTAATGGTATTTCCAGCTCTATTATATAAAATATTATATATTTTATTTATTTTATATTTTAGTTTATTGTATTGACTGCCCCCCTTAAAGCTTGAAAGTTTATTCAAAAAGTAACCGTTTTGAAACACTTTCCAACACTGCTATCGATAGTTACACACGGCTATCGATATTCGCGGATTGTGGGCGTATGGGGAAAAATTAGGGAAATAGTAAACATTGAAGACAAAAGGAATTTGCGAAGATAGCACAAACCATTGGTGACCTATTGCCCCCCTCGGCCAAGAAAGTGCAGCAGTAATGGCGCATGCAACGCCCAAGGAACCCACATTCCTGCCCCGCGTCGACCGGCCGCCAAAGCAGAGCAAACCACAGGCCGCCTCCGGTAATCCATTTGTGGCCACCTCCTCCGGTAACCCCTTCGAAGATGACGAGGAGGAGGAGCCCCAGGGAATCTTCAGCAAGCACAAGATGCTGCTCCGCATCCCCACCAAGGCCAACGGGGAGATGTTGCACCTGACCGTCTCCAAGAATTGGTTATTCTGCATCATGAACAACGCGGAGAGGACGACCCTGCTGAGATTCTTCTTGCCCAGAGCCATTCCACCGGGCGGTATGCTATTTACCTTAAAACCTGATTTGAATCCTCGTTAACTATGAATATCCACCCACAGAGGCTGCCCTGGACAAGTATCTCTCCGGCACCGGCTACAAGATCACCCGCATTTTCCTTGACCCCACGGGACACCATCTGATCGTGTCTCTGGTACCGAAATCAGCCGGTTCTGGTGTCTCACCAGATTTCCTGTATGTCCACTGTACCCAAACGGCGCAAGCCCAGACCCTGAAGGTCCGCCGCATCGAGAAGTTCAAGGATCACGAGATAACAGCCGTGGCCTTTAATCCGTTTAATGGTAATGACAACACCACGGGTTCCATACTCCTGGGCACCAGTCGGGGACTGATCTTTGAAACCGAACTGAGTCCTGCCGGGGAGGGAAGCATACCAAAGAAACAGGTCTATGATTTGGGACTGGGACGCCTGAAATATCCCATCACAGGTCTGAGGCTCTTGCGTGCATCCATCGGCAGGCAGTATATGGTGGTGGTCACCAGTCCCGAGTGCATATACGCGTTCAAGGAGACCCTGCGGGTGGACGAGCGTTCCCTGAATCCCATTTTCGCCAACTATGTAAGCGGCGTCCAGGAGCCGCACTGTGAGGAACGGAAAACGGATCTGACCTACTCTCAGCTTAGGTTCTACGCCACGCCCCAGAGCAAGTATCCCAAGCAGTGGGCGTGGCTGTGCGGAGTTGGGATACGAGTGGGTGAGCTGGCCGTGGAGGACACTAGTGGCGCCACGCTGGTGGGCGACACCCTAATCTCCCTCGACTTTGACAAGAAAACCTACCTCTCCTACGAGGAGCGACGACTGAATATTCCGAAGGCCTTTGTCCTCACCGAGTTCCATGCCGTGCTCCTCTATGCGGACCACATCCGGGCCATCTGCTTGCTGAACCAGGAGCTGGTCTACAAGGAGTCCTTCGACGAGGCGGAGGTGGGCAGGCCCCTGAACATCGAACGGGACGAGCTAACGGGCTCCATATACGTCTACACCACCAAGGCGCTCTTCAATCTCAAGGTGACCAACGAGGAGAGGAACATCTGGCACATCTACCTCGAGAAGGGACAGTACGAGCGGGCCATGGCCTCGGCGGCTGGGAATCTGGAGCATCTGCAAGTAGTCCTCGAGCGAAGGGCGGAGGCTGCCTTTGAAGAGGGCTCCCACGAGGTGGCCGCCAACTTTTACGCCGAAACGGATCATCCCTTCGAGGAGGTGTGCCTCAAGTTCATGGTTCTACCCGACAAGCGGCCCATCATCAACTACGTGAGGAAGCGTCTACAGAAGCTGACCACCGGCAAGCCCCTGGATTTGGCCAGCGTTGACGAAGACCATGGGAATGCTGTCAAGGCCATGGTGCTGTGGCTCATCGATCTCTATCTGATCCAGATCAATATGCCCGACCAGGAAGCGGAAAGGCGGCAGGCGTGGCAGACGGAGTACGACGAGTTCATGGCGGATCCGCACGTCCTGGCCTTCACCCTGAACAACAGTGCCGAGGCCCAGCAGCTGATTGCCCAGCACGCCGATCCCACCAACATGGCCAAGTTTGCCATCGCCATCGGAGACTACGAGCAGGTGGTCACCCAGCAGCTGAAAGCCGAGAACTACACCGAAGCGCTGCAGACCCTGGCCCAGCAAAGGAAGCCCCAGCTCTTCTACAAATACACTCCCCTGCTGATGGCCCAGTTGCCCAAGCCCACAGTGGACACGCTGATGGCGCAAGGATCTCGCCTGGAGCTGGAGAAGCTAGTGCCGGCAATGGTGGTCATCGAGACGAAGGAGCAGCGAGAGCAGACGATGCGCTATCTGGAGTTTGCCATCTACCAGCTGAACACCACCTACGATGCCGTGCACAACATCCTCCTGCACCTGTACGCGGAGCACCAGCCCAAGCAGCTGATGAAGTACCTGGAGATTCAGGGTCGCGACGAAACCCTCGTCCACTACAACATCCAGTACGCCCTCAAAGTATGCACGGATCTGGATGTGAAGGAGGCGTGTGTCTTTCTGCAGTGTCTCCTCAATATGTGGGATTCGGCGGTGGCCCTGGCCCTGACATTCGACATTAAGCTGGCCAAGGAGACGGCCAACCGGCCAACAGATGCCCAGCTTAAGAGGCGACTGTGGTTGAGGATAGGTGACTTGCTTTTCTTTATGTCCTTTGATCCTTTGTCCTGAAAATCCACTTGCTTTCCAGCTTACCACGACATCAAGGACACCGATGACGTCAAGAAGGCCTTGAATCTTCTCAAGGAATGCGATCTGTTGCGGATCGAGGATCTGTTGCCATTCTTTGCCGACTTTGAGAAGATCGACAACTTCAAGGATCCCATTTGTGAGGCATTGGAGGTGAGCCTGGAGAAGAATTCTCTTGTTAAAGAGAAGTCCTAAGAGTTCTTAATCTCTTCCAGAAATACAACAAAAGTATTCAGGAACTGCGCCATGAAATGGACGAAACCCAGAAGCAATCCGATCGCGTCCAAAAGGAACTCCAGAAGCTGCGGGAACACAAGATTCTGATTACCACCGAGGACAACTGTTCCCTCTGCCACATGATGGCGCTGGCCAAACCGTTCTTTGCCTTTATGTGTGGCCACAAGTTCCACAACGATTGCCTGGAGAAGCAAGTGGTGCCGCTGTTAACCAAGGAACGTAGTCGTGAACTGACCGCCCTGAAGCACCAACTGGAGGCGGAGATTCAGTCCCAGCAGTCACTCGGTGCCGTCTCCAAGCAACAGGCTATGGAATTGGAACGTAAACGCATGAAGATTAGAACCCAAATCGAAGATATCCTGGCGGCCGATTGCTTGTTCTGTGGCCTTTACATTGAAATCGTGGACCAGCCGCTGGTGGACGATTGGGATCAGGTCAATGTCGAGTGGGAATAGCTTCTAGCTAGATGACCCCCCTGCCTGCCCCCCATGCCTCCTGCTTTCTTTTCATATTCCAATATCCGTGTACATATAGACGAGTATTTATTAATAAACTTATACAAATCACAAGCCACATTCAAGTCACAGGTCTCTCGAGGATCGACTTGGCCACAGGATGGCGGTCAGTCGACGATCTGCATGCGCAGTTCGTTGGTCACGAACGACATGACCGTGTTGAGCACCGCCTGCTGTATGGAGGCGTTCTGGACGATCAGTGGCAGTAGCATCACCACGTCGGTGGGATGGATCTCAGCCACGGCCCTGGAGACGTGATTCACCAGCTGTTCCTTCTGGTCGTCGGTTAGATCGTTCAGCAGGATCTCTCCCAGCGGACGGAAGGTTCCTGAAAATAAAGCAGGAGAAGGATTAGTTCATTATTGCTGAGCTGGGATTCGAAGGATGCGGCAGGATGCGGGTTGTTGGGAGGGTTTGTGACTACGATGCCCTAAGAAGGCCATATCTTGGCCAATTCTCACCCGATTCTTGCGAGGAGTACCTTAATCGATTTGTGGATGGATTTCCTATAATTTTCCTGGGGAGACCCCTTCAAAAAGTGGGTTTTTGGCTTATAGCCCCCTGGGAAGGCCATATCTTGGCCAATTCTCACCCGATTCTTGCGAGGAATACCTTAATCGATTTGTGGATCGATTTACCATGAATCTGCATCAAAACCTGACAACAAAATATTTTTCAGATTTTTTTCAAAATTTTCCTGGGGAGACCCCTTCAAAAAGTGGGTTTTTGGCTTATAGCCCCCTGGGAAGGCCATATCTTGGACAATTCTCATCAGATTCTTGCGAGGAATACCTTAATCGATTTGTGTATCGATTTACCATGAATCTGCATCAAAAACTGACAACAAAATATTTTTCAGATTTTTTTCAAAATTTTCCTGGGGAGACCCCTTCAAAAAGTGGGTTTTTGGCTTATAGCCCCCTGGGAAGGCCATATCTTGGCCAATTCTCACCCGATTCTTGCGAGGAATACCTTAATCGATTTGTGGATGGATTTCCCATCATTCTGCATCAAAACCTGACAACAAAATATTTTTTAGATTTTTTTCAAAATTTTCCTGGGCAGACCCCTTCAAAAAGTGGGTTTTTAGCTAGTAGCTCCCTGGGAAGGCCATATCTTGGCCAATTCTCACCCGATTCTTGCGAGGAATACCTCAATCGATTTGTGGATGGATTTCCCATCATTCTGCATCAAAACCTGACAACAAAATATTTTTTAGATTTTTTTCAAAATTTTCCTGGGCAGACCCCTTCAAAAAGTGGGTTTTTAGCTAGTAGCCCCCTGGGAAGGCCATATCTTGGCCAATTCTCACCCGATTCTTGCGAGGAATACCTTAATCGATTTGTGTATCGATTTACCATGAATCTGCATCAAAAACTGACAACAAAATATTTTTCAGATTTTTTTCAAAATTTTCCTGGGCAGACCCCTTCAAAAAGTGGGTTTTTGGCTTATAGCCCCCTGGGAAGGCCATATCTTGGACAATTCTCATCAGATTCTTGCGAGGAATACCTCAATCGATTTGTGGATGGATTTCCCATCATTCTGCATCAAAACCTGACAACAAAATATTTTTTAGATTTTTTTCAAAATTTTCCTGGGCAGACCCCTTCAAAAAGTGGGTTTTTAGCTAGTAGCTCCCTGGGAAGGCCATATCTTGGCCAATTCTCACCCGATTCTTGCGAGGAATACCTCAATCGATTTGTGGATGGATTTCCCATCATTCTGCATCAAAACCTGACAACAAAATATTTTTTAGATTTTTTCAAAATTTTCCTGGGCAGACCCCTTCAAAAAGTGGGTTTTTAGCTAGTAGCCCCCTGGGAAGGCCATATCTTGGCCAATTCTCACCCGATTCTTGCGAGGAATACCTTAATCGATTTGTGTATCGATTTACCATGAATCTGCATCAAAAACTGACAACAAAATATTTTTCAGATTTTTTTCAAAATTTTCCTGGGCAGACCCCTTCAAAAAGTGGGTTTTTGGCTTATAGCCCCCTGGGAAGGCCATATCTTGGACAATTCTCATCAGATTCTTGCGAGGAATACCTCAATCGATTTGTGGATGGATTTCCCATCATTCTGAATCAAAACCTGACAACAAAATATTTTTCAGATTTTTTTCAAAATTTTCCTGGGCAGACCCCTTCAAAAAGTGGGTTTTTAGCTAGTAGCCCCCTGGGAAGGCCATATCTTGGCCAATTCTCACCCGATTCTTGCGAGGAATACCTTAATCGATTTGTGGATGGATTTCCCATCATTCTGCATCAAAACCTGACAACAAAATATTTTTCAGATTTTTTTCAAAATTTTCCTGGGGAGACCCCTTCAAAAAGTGGGTTTTTGGCTTATAGCCCCTTGGGAAAGCCATATCTTGGCCAATTCTCACCCGATTCTTGCGAGGAATACCTTAATCGATTTGTGGATCGATTTACCATCATCCTGCATCAAAACCTGACAACAAAATATTTTTCAGATTTTTTTCAAAATTTTCCTGGGGAGACCCCTTCAAAAAGTGGGTTTTTGGCTTATAGCCCCTTGGGAAAGCCATATCTTGGCCAATTCTTATCCGATTCTTGCGAGGAGTATCTTAAACGATTTGTGGATGGATTTCCCATCATTCTGCATCAAAACCTGACAACAAAATATTTTTTTGATTTTTTTCAAAATTTTCCTGGGGAGACCCCTTAAAAAAGTGGGTTTTTGGCTTATAGCCCCCTGGGAAGGCCATATCTTGGCCAATTCTCATCCGATTCTTGCGAGGAATAGCTCAATCGATCTGTGGATGGATTTCCCATCATCCTGCATCAAAACCTGACAACAAAATATTTTTTAGATTTTTTTCAAAATTTTCCTGGGGAGACCCCTTAAAAAAGTGGGTTTTTGGCTTATAGCCCCCTGGGAAGGCCATATCTTGGCCAATTATCACCCGATTCTTGCGAGGAGTATCTTAATCGATTTGTGGATGGATTTCCCATCATTCTGCATCAAAACCTGACAACAAAATATTTTTTAGATTTTTTTCCAAATTTTCCTGGGCAGACCCCTTCAAAAAGTGGGTTTTTGGCTTATAGCCCCCTGGGAAGGCCATATCTTGGCCAATTATCACCCGATTCTTGCGAGGAGTATCTTAATCGATTTGTGGATGGATTTCCCATCATTCTGCATCAAAACCTGACAACAAAATATTTTTTAGATTTTTTCAAAATTTTCCTGGGCAGACCCCTTTAAAAAGTGGGTTTTTGGCTTATAGCCCCCTGGGAAGGCCATATCTTGACCAATAAGGATCGATTCCCTTTAGTGGAATAAAGTCTATTAATTATAAAGATATTTTTTATAAAAAGGGAAAAATTCATAGAGGGAAATTTAAGGATTGGAGCTCTATAATGAGATAAATGTGACAGATGAAGTAGCCTTTTGGAAACCAATCCCAAGTGGCATACGTCAACTTACCGCTGGTCATCTTGTAGGCGGCAATTCCACCAGCAGCTCCGCCCACCGCCAGGCCCACAGGACCGAGGAGCATGCCGCCAGCGAAGGAGCAGGCGGCACAAATGGCGGCTCCCTTGCCGGACTGCTTAACGGCCACCCGGACATTGCGCTCGTCCGCCACAATGGCAATCGCCTCCATCAGTTCCCGGGTATCGATGGGCATCTTTGACCTTTAACTTTGCTGCTACGTGGAGGGCTCCTGTTGGCTGGGAATTTCGTAATTTCGTGACGACAACGTTTTGTTAGACTTTGGAGCTTTGTCGCCTTATCAAGAAATGTGTCATCCAGTTCCAAATCCTTCAAGCAGTACACTTATATTTTTGAAAAATATAAATTCTCAACACTATTTATAGAGCCAGCTTGGGTGCTGAGATTGTAAATAAACTATAAAAACAGATAATTAAAAATAAACTTTTGAGCGGGCGACGCAATTTTTGTTTATTTGTTGCAAACTTTGATGAAAGTGTGACCAGTAGAGGGAAGTAAGAACATACCAGATTTTGGGACAACAGTAAGGGATTTTTCTAATGTAAGCAGTTTAAACTGCTTGTTTTCGTTAATTTATAAAATGAAGGCTTTTAATAGTATAAATTTTAGTGTTTATGTCTTAAATATTTGTTTTAAAACTTTTTTTTAGACTTTCAATAAAAAATTTGTCCTTAAATTTAGTTACTTCTTAGGTATTTTTTGAATAAAGTTTTGGGACAAATATTTAAAGCATTGTTTTTTAAGTTTAAGTTTTTTAAAACTATGTTTTACTCCAAAAACCAAAAATTTATTTTTTTATTAAGACAAACTAAAGACTTGCATGTTTTTTAAAATTAAATTAAGATTTTAAGACTAAAAAAGAAAATATATTTAATAGGTACTTACAACCTATTTTCTTTAAATAAAAAACTTTAATTAACTATCTATATAATACAATTAAATGATTATTATCAGCTTATATTAATTTTAATAAGAACTTAGTCATATTCTTCTTAGTATTCCTAAATTAATAAAATCAAATTTAATTTAAAAAGCAAGCAGTTTAAAGCAGTGTGTCCAAAACGCCAAACCTTCCCGTTATTTCCCTGGGAAATCATAACGGTCATACTCTTCGCCTGGGATGTGCGCAAATCATTTAAATGAAAAAGGAAGTCTAATTCCTGGACTATCTAATTGTTTAGACGCGACTAAGACACTAGTTATTGTTTAAATAAAGTCTGTCCCTTAGTTTCCAAGCAGTTGGGTGGCCAGCGGTTAAGCCAAAATAATGTTTTCCCCCAAACACGTAAGTCGTGCGCGCATCTTTGTTGTTTTGCTGTTTGTTAGTGTGTGTGTGTTGTGAGTTTATTTATTTTTTTTATTTTTAATAAATAAAAAGAAAAAAAATACTTATCTCTAAATGAGAAAAGAACATATTGTATATTAATGATTGTTGCAACCGAAACCGTAACGCCCGTTAAGGCCATTTACCACCCACTGGCCGGGGGAGGCTTTCCAATTAATCTTTTTATTGGCCTTTTATCACATCTCCAACTTGTTGATTCCTCGTTAATTAATTGCCGAATTAGCAAGTTTCGGGCCGCTAAAATCGGCCCGTAATATAAACCCACAACATGGGGCAGGGAGGGAGGAGGGTGGTTGGGGCTTACGGGCGCGCCGTAACACTTTCCGTAATTGCCCGAGTACGGCCAAGCCCTCTTTGCCGTCTAATTCGTTGGGCAAACAAGTACTAAGCCAATATTTGCATATGTCGGTACTTAGACACCCCCCCCCCCTTATCTAGAGAGGGGGTGCACCCACCACACGTAGCTGAAAAAATAAAAGACTTCTGTAACATTTTAGGGCGCCGCTTGGCTCTTTTTTCCGCTACTGTTGATTGTGGGCCCAACTACGGCCAGACCAGAGCTGGGAGATCAACTGGCAGCAGTTCCCGAGGACACCAGCTTCATCCCATCGGCAGCTCCAGAGCCTGCGGAGGTAATCCCCGCCAGCAGCTCTGAGAACTCGGGCATCCCCACCACAGAGAGCAGTGTGGTTGCTCCAACGGCAGCGGTTACCAGCCATCCGAGCAGCACCAGTACCACCACTAGCACCTCTACTAGTAGTAGTACCTCCTCGACCACCACTAGCACGACTAGCTCCACCTCCACGACTCCCGCAGTGCCAGAACCACCTGCTGCTCCCGAACAGCCCGAGTATCTGAAGCACTGTTTCTACGCGGAGGAGTCGTTGTGCCAGGAAAGCAACAGCCTGGAGGATGAGGCCCGTCCGGATGACGAGCAGGCAGCGGAGCAGGCCCAGAACTCCCTCAACACCTGCCACTGCAAGGAGCATCCCTTTAAGCCCAACTCCTGGTACTGCTGCAACATCACCCAAATGACCATGATCTCCAGCTGCTCCACCAAGTCCAAATGGATCAACTTGCATGTCCGCAACATGACCCTGGAGACTGTGGACTTTTCCAATCCCATCTTCCGATCCCTCCAGTCGCTGGCCATCACCGACGGCAATATAACGCGTCTGCTGGGCGCCTTCCCTCGGATGTCGGCCCTCAAATGCCTCAACATCTCCAACAACAACATCACCGACATACCCGCCAGGGCGGTGAAGGATGTGCCCCATCTGGAGTTCTTTGGGATGTCACACAACAATCTCTCAGTGGTGCCGCATCGGAATCAGAACAAGAACATTACCCTGGACATCAGGTGAGTGTCTATCCTAGCTCCTAGCTCCTAGTTTCCTAAGCATTTGAATCCCTTCCAGTGGCAATATGCGGATGCTGTGCAATCCTCTGAATGAACTGATCTACAACGAGTCCATAAACTTTGTGAATCCCGAGCATTCCTACTGTCAGTACAACGCCACACGCCAGTGGTTCCAATCCACCGATAAGGTCTCTGTGGAGCAGCTGGAGAACCGTAAACGTTGCCTGACCAACTGTCCCAATATACCGAATCATGGAAGCTGCCGGTGCAAGCTGGAGAACATCATGATCATCCAGGACAATCAGTCGAAGCCGCAGTGCCACGTGGACTGCTCGAATATGAACCTGGTGGAGCTGCCGCAGCGCCTGCCGGACAACACCTTTGTGCTGAATATCACCAACAACCGGATCACCAGCCTGGGCGATCACTTCCAGACCAATCCCACCTACCACAACATCAACCGACTGGTGGCCGACAACAATCAGATCTCGTCGATGTACGAATTCGAGGGCACCAAGTTCATCGAGACCTTCCAGCGCATCTACATGCGGAACAACTCGTTGAGCAAGGTGAGCACGCTACTCTCTATTCTCTAAGGGATTCATCCCTGAATGCAAGGTGTTATGCTCTGCAGATACCGGAATACTTCCTCAACAATGCCCTGATGGACTCGGGGCTGGGGCGACGCATCTACTTGGCGGGCAATCACCTCCAGTGCGACTGCAACTCGGCCAAGACGCTCCAAAACTGGCTGAAGGAGCGCAGCTCGGACATACCCGACTACATGGAGATCCGGTGCCGGAACACAGCCCAGAGTGTAATCGAACTGCAGGAGGCCAAGCTCTGTCAATCCCCGCCAGACTGGACGGACTACATCTACTATCTGATAGCAGCCGAGGTGATCCTTCTGCTGGCCTTGATCGCCAAGGTCTCCTACGACTATTGGGTCTTCAAGACAGCCGGGTATCTACCCTGGCCGGCCAGCAAGATGCCCAAGTTGCCTTGCGATTGGCTTTGCGAATCTTAAAGATTCTTCCGAAACCGACAGAGATGGGTAGAGTCAAGAGAGTGAGAGATAGTTGACATGACAGAAGGCATTATCCTTCTAATATCCTCCGTTAGCGGATCAATGTGCCTTTTCAACACGATTTTTGTTGTTTTTAGTCGTTTAGGATTAAGAGCCAAATGCATATACATATATATATATTGTTTTTGATGTTGTGGGTGCATCTGGAAATATACAGACTTGATTTTATTTAGGTAGACAATGTACGATTCTAATTATATAGATGTGTAATACTATGTGTTTATGATGACAATTTTTTTTTTAAACTATAAACTATTAAAAGAAACTCAAAAGTAAATGTTTTTAAAACTTTTAAATAGGTGTTTTAGTATTAAGATTAAAAGAAATATATATAAACCATATAAAATATAAATCTAAAGGGGTATATCAACCTCAATTTTTGTAGAACTCTTTTGAAAGGAAATCTTTACCATCTCCAACCTTTTCAAGGATGTCTTAGATGAAAGGATTAAAAAAAATATATATATAATTGAAAGAAAGTCTATACAGGTCTTTCAGTAGAATTCTTCTAAAAGAAAAACCCTTCCCACCTCCAGTTTAAAATACATAATTAAAAAAGTAAAAGTTTGTAACCTTTCAATAGGGTTTTCTATAGTCTATATAAGCATTAAAAAAATAGATATACCTGTTTTTGTAGAATTCTTCTAAAAGATAATACCTCCACATGCATCTAAAAAGATCTTGGAAAGTAAACGTTTAAAACCTTTTAATTAGAGTTTTAAATGTTTAGAGTAAAAGCTAGATACTCGACATTTTTTGAAGAATTCTTCTGAAAGAAAAGACTATCCATCTCTAACGCAAAATGAACTCAAAAGGAAAAGCTTTTGACCATCTAAAGCAAGTCTTTAGTTTTAATAATAAAAATTAGATAATCTAAAGAAACTGTATACAGATCTTTTCGTAGAGTTCTTCTAAAAGAAAACTCATCCAACACCTCCAAAAAAGAATTTTGGAAAAAGAAGAAACTAAAAAGAAAGTAAATGTTTTCAAAAAAGTATTTAATGTTTAAATTAAAAACTAGATAATCAAAAAAAGTTCTCTATAAACCTTTTTTTTTTTAGAATTCTTCTGAAAGAATACCTTCCCCCCTCGTCCATATACTAAAAGAAACTACCCTTTCAATTGTGTTTCCATTTTACGAATGATATTTATTGTTGTGGTTTGTTGTGATTCAAATAGAATAATTATTATTAAGAAAAAAATACGCATTTCTAACTCTGTGGATGCTGCGAGGCTGCATCCTTCTGCCCAGTGGCAGGATAATGGATCGTGATCGTGATCTCCTTTTTTTTTGCTTAATAAGTATCAGTGTGTGAGTGAATGTGAGGGGTCAGTGTGTCAGATTGTGTATCCTGTAAGTGTGTGTGTGTGTGTGCCTTATAAGGATTATAGTTAGGTGTACGATGCACATTCAAGGACATTGTTTAACTTTATACTTAATAGCTTGAGTTATTTTGGAATTTATTCGTTTCTTCGATTCTCATTTTATATGTTTTTAATTTAATTCATTTATTTTTTAGGGACCTTTTATTATCTTTATAATCGTCGTTGGTGTGTGTGTGTGTGAGAGTGTCCTTTTTTTCTTTTTAAATTATTTTTCCGTGTGTATTCGTTGCGTGATTTGCATGTAAATATATATATTTATTTTATATATATATATATGTTATACATATTCGTCGATCGAATGCAGTTTATAAATATTTTTATTTTTTATTTTTTGGCATTATTAGTCTTCGATTCGATTGGTTTTAGTTTTTCAGTTTTTTTAGGATTTTTTTTTTTCTCATTTCTGGATGGGAGTCTTGAAAAGTCTATGTGTTCGGGGGGGTTATACATGGTAATATAACTATGAAATGCAGATATAATACTTTTTTTTTTTCTTCTCCTAAAGGGCAGGGGGCTCTGTGTATCCTTATGCCTAGTCTTTTTGAAAATTGAACAATATATTCGGGGTATGCATGGTGTGTGTGGATGTTGTGTGTGTTTATTTCAAAATCTGGCATAGGTGCAACAAATTTATTTTTATATTCCATATTTTTTTGTTTTTTACTTTCAAATTTGAAATAATTAAAAGCTTATAATACTGAGCGCAGTAAAGTAACAAATCTATGTACGATTTCTCAATTAACTATACAAACATTTTGATTCGCTAAAACATATATATATATATCGTATATATATGTATATATGTGGTGTATATGTATATGTGTTATGTGTTAGTCTATATGCATATATATAGTAAGTGGAATAGGTATATAAATGCAGTCAAGAGCTCTCAACCACGAATACTACCCATGTTGGCCGGGGGGATTTTGAAGGATTCTTTTTGTTGGCCAACTGGTTACTGGATTCGATGTTGCATGTTGCTTCTAAATGCTTTCTAGATTTCTAACCTATTTTTAATAGGCTTTTTTAAGAAGAAAACAAAACAAAAAAAAAAAATAAAAAAACCTAACAAGATTGGGTTTGAGAACGTCGGTAAACCGAAGTTATTTGGTGGCAGGATCAGGGATTAAGGGTTTAAGGTTATAAAGGTTTTTGGTTAAAAATTAGCTAAGTCACCTTGTCTAACAAAATATTTCCAAGTACAATAATGCATCTTGATGAGCTACATATATAGAACTATCAGTCTCACGTCCCGGTACCAAGGATATAATAAAAATCTGTGACATTATATATGGTTTCCTTTTTCATTTTTTTTTTTTTTTTTTTTTTTGTTAAGTACATATGTATGTGTGGTTTTTTTCGGTACATATGCATAATAGTATTGGTGAGTGATTGAAGAGCCTGTATCGTGTATGTGTGTGTGTGCCTGCTAATCCTTTGGATCCTTGAGATCCTTTAACTACTAGTATGTGTAGGATGTGCTATCTTTTTTGGGGAAAGGATGTGGCTTGTTAATATTTCAACTCCCAGGGAGTCCTTTTCGTCCTTTCTCTCTGCGCATGTGTGTGTGTGTGTGTTCGTGCAACATTTGTGTGCAACTTCTTTTCGAAAGTAACAACGAAAACATACAACATACAACAAGTACATCAATGTAAGCAAATACATGGATTAAATACATTAATATTCTTTCTGCCTTTCTGTTTAGAGTGCACAATTATCCTTTTTATCCTTTTTTTTTAGTTTTTGTTTTTGTTTTATTTTGATTTTCAATTCGTTTTCGATTTCGTTTATCGTTATCCTTACAATCATTATAATCATGATGATAATGATGATGATGGTTGATGGTGCAACACATATTTTTTTTCTTTCAATGTACGACATTAAGACGCTAAATACAATATGAGATGTGAGCGAGATAGAGATAGATCGAGAGCGAGAGAGAGAGTGTATGTCCTGTCATTCGTCCTGTTTCACGTCAGTGTTTAGGGGGGGGCTCTGTTCATATATCGATTTTAGCCTCGTTCCAAGCCAATTTCCAGTTGTGTTAAAGTATCTCCGTCTCGTACACCTGCTTGGTAGTAGTTGTGGTTGTTGTTGTTGTTGTTGTTGCAACGGCGGCGCCTCCAGCAGCAACTGCACCACCACCGCCACCAGCAACAACACCGCCAGCCGCACCGCCCGTAGCATCACTGGACATCACCACCATTCCGCCGCCACCGCCATTGGTGGATGCTGCCGCAGCAGCGGCTGCAGCAGCCGCCGCCGCCGCAGCTGCCCCACTTGCCTCACAGGCCAGGCTCAGGGCGGCAATTTTCTGCTGTATATTCGATTCGCTGCCGAGCTTTCGCAGGGTATTGGTGGCGCCGCCGTTATCCCCTCCCGGGGGGCATGCCACATCCACCGACGGCAGCTTGCTCATCTGCTGCAACCGCTGGTACTGCTCCTGCAACAGTTTCTGTTTCTTCAACAGCTCCTGGTGTCTCATCTCGAGGGCCACCTGACGCTGGACATGATCGTTACCGGACTCATTGCCGCTGGAATTGTCGCCGCTTGAGGAGTCTACTCCGGCAACACCACCATCCTGTTGCTGCTGCTGCTGTTGTTGCTGTTGTTGTTGTGGCACATTCGGACTGGTGGGACTGGCCAGTGGACTGCGTGAGCTGGTGCGCGGCGGCGGGGGTGGCGGTATACGCTTGTGACCCACCTTGGTAATCAGATCGGCATTACGCTCCGGCACTGGCGGCTTACTGCTGCTGCTACTGGTGCCCCCATTTGCCATTACCGTTGCCATCGGTGGCACCTCGCCATCCGATTCGCTCGGATACGAATGCAAACGCCTCAAACTGCCCATATTTGTGTGCACCATCAGCTGTGATTGGCTTTGATTTTGATTCAGATTCAGATTCGGATTTGGATTATGAACTTGATTATTATTATGATTATGGGACTGAGATTGCTGATGGGTTAGCACACCGCGCTGGGCCTGGGCCACGGCCATAACCATGTTGCTGGTCGTGACCTGTTGCACGCTGGTGGCCTCCGTGTAGAGACGGGCCTGCGAGATCTGGGTGGTGACGGTGCTCTGGACAGCGGCCTGGGCACTCTCATCGGATGCCGAATCCTCTGGGCGAATCTAAAAGTGGTTATAATTTAATTTGTGATACCCGGTACTTAAGATACTTTCCTTTATAATGTCTCTATTTATAAACTATATAATACCTGGTACTAGGTATGATTTTTGACTTTGAAATTCTATATTTTACCATATATAATACTATATAAAATTCTACAAGATATCCGGTACAAGAGATACTTTGGCTGCTATACTATATGCATAATACATAATATTATTTAAATGATAAATGATACCCGGTACTTTCTATTATAAAGTCTCTATTTATAAACTATATAATACCTGGTACTAAATATACTTATTGGCTTTGAAATTCTATATGAAATACTATAAGATACCCGATACAAGAGATAAAATCACCTACTAGACTTTATAATACAAAATAGTTTTTAAAAGCTATATGATACCCGGTACTTGGAACAAAGTTTACTACTAAAATATCCCATTTTTAAGATTAAAAACTTTTCTCTATAAAACCTTTGCTAAAATACTATAAGATACCCGATATTAAGGATTAAATACTATACCATACCAATAATTATAAAATAATCTTCAAACACTATACAATACCTGGTACTTGGGACTCAATTTTCATTGAAAATACTAAACTTTCTTCCAAGAATAACTCCCGAAAACATACTATAACTAGTATTATTTTCTAATCATATGAAACCCCACAACTTACCTCATATTGTGGCTGTTGTTGCTGTTGCTGCAACTGTTGCTGCTGCAGTTGCTGCTGCTGTTGCTGTTGCTGCTGCTGCTGCTGTTGTTGCTGTTGCTGCTGTTGGGCAATGGGCTTGGAGAAGGTCTTGAGCTCATCTAGCAGAGCATCGAGTGCGTTTTCGGGTGCGAGTCCCCCGCCGATAGTGAACGACCCCATCCTGGGTGTTGGGATTGGCTACAAGACGAAATCATATCGCAATAATATAATATATATCACATATTTATAAAACATTAACTTTTTTTTTTTTAAATACAGAGTACAATTAGGAGTCGAATAACAATCTCACATTTACAGTTTACAGTATTTTTTTTGTTAATAATTTTTTTTTTTGGGCAATTACGTACGCGTAAGGGATACACATAGGTATAATAAACTGCAATATCCGATTACACATATCTGATACGTAAAAAAAAACGGAAACGGAAGTAACCCAGCAATATACATACATATATTAGCTAGAGTGCAGAATGGAAATATGCAGGATCATGCAGTGCAAAAAAAAATAGGATTAATATTAAGAACCGACACGTCCAATGAAAAAAAACACATCATTTAATAATAATTATTATTATTTATATAATTTAATTAGAATTAACGGCAAGCAAGCAACAAGCAGAAAGCATCTAAAATCTAGGACTAGGATAATGGAGATCATCAGGCAAGTAATGTCAGGCATGTCGGGTATGAGAGTATATATAGAGTAGATATATAGCTGAAGAGAGAAAGCATCGAAACGGGGGGAATGAATGATGACTTGGACTCCCAGGGAAGTAAGTTAGTGGTTTCTCGATTCTCTAGCAGCTCTATAAGTATTGGTCTAAATAAAACACAAAAATGCATTCATGATTCCGAAAGAAGTCTTCACCGATTCTGACTGAGAGTGTTAATATACTATGTATATGTTTCTAAACTAAAAGTATCTAGTGCTGTTCGATATTTATTTTTTAGTTCCCAAATATTTTATATAAGCAGTATTTTTTTTTCAAAAAATGAATACCGAAACAAGTTGCTATATTTTCTCAATACCAAGTGTTTGGTATATATTTTGATCCTACCTTCCATATAAAAAAAAGATATATATTTTGTGATTTAAGTGTTTTTGATGTGATTGTGGTAATGACTTAGTGACTACTTAGTTCTGGTTGATGTAGTATGTATGAAACCAGAACTCATAGTTAGTGAGTGATTGATGATGGATGGCTGGATTGGTTGATTGATTGATTGATTGATTGATCGATAGGTAGATAGATTGTTGAAACTTCAAAGACAACAATCGATGAGTGAGAACAGTGACTGATCTGAACTGAACAGTGATGACTGTTTGCATACTGGATTGAGATTAAAATTGACTGCAAATACAATTGGCCGTTCGATTGTCTGATTAAGATTAATTGTCTGGAACATTATTGGGAGTGGAGAGTAGTTTTGGATGAGGAAGCTGGATGGTACATAAAACATGGGTCTTTTACAATACATACACATATTCTCTAATATCGATACACACCGACACACAAAAGCATTGCTCGCAACTACAAAATATTAATTAAATGTTAAAAAACAAAAAAAATGATGATGATTTTCAACTCCATTGTCTGCTATTCGTAAAAAAACCAAAAAAAAACGAATAAAAACTTAATGAAAAAAAAAATTCGGTAGATGGCGGCAATTAAAACGTATCTTTATCTGCATCTCAGTGTTTGAGTATCTTTGTAACTTATGTTGTTTCTGTGGAAGTATTATATTTCTGTGGAAGTTAATGCTCTTCTTTTCGGACCACGTGCAGATGAAATGATTGCGAATCCAAAACAAACAACACATAGAATTAAGAACAAACATCAACAGAACAGAAGACTTGCAAAGCAGCAAACTCCATGTAAGGGATACAGGGAGGTAAGGGACCAGTGGATGGGATTATTAAGTGCAAAAAAAAAAGGTCAATAAAATCAAACCAGGGACTTGAACTCATTCGCACTTTAGAGTATTTGTTAGTTATGAGCTATGAAGAAAGGTTCATCAAAAAAATGATTTGTACTTCATTATCCTACATTTTGGTCCTTCGAGACAGTTTCGGAATTTGGAAGTTGAAGGTAATACGGAAATGAGATGATGGATTTTGGAGTAAAGAACTGACACACACACACACACACACAGACTCACACACACAGAGACACACCGAAACACACACACTTATTGAATATATGTACATCATATGTACATCATACGAACATGAATATGCAACTGTTGGTACGGGTTTTGCTCAGGGATTGCTTTGGGAATTGTCTTCGGTGGCATTTATGGACAGCTTTTTTGTTTTTTTTTTTGATTTTTTTGATGATTTTTGAGATATGTGGATTGAGTTTTAGTACGAGTATTAGTTTAGTTTAGAAGTTTATAGCAGTAGTAAATAGTATACAAAATATAAACTAGTATGTTTAATGCAGAGCAAATTATGTTTAGCAAAAAGAAAATTGACTTAGTTGATTTATATTATTATTTTTTTTTTTCATCTTTTCAAGAAAGGGTTTTTTTTTCATTATAAATTATTTTTTTGGGGGTTTTGTATTTTGGATTTTTTTTTGGTTAATTTTTTTTTAAGGTTTTGTTTTTTTTTGTAAATGTTTCTTTTTATATTTGGATTTCAGTCATTACTCAGTAATTGCCTCTTTGAAGTTTGAACTCCATCGCCAGTTAAACTATGTGGGTTGTAGTTGTTGTTGTAAACGATATTCAAAAAATGTTTGAGAAAAGGCAAGAAGAGAAAACGAAGGTAAACCTCATTTTATAAGACGTTAAGCTATATAAATTACTCTTTTGTGTTTTTCTTATTAAAAATTGATTTTTTTTTGTTGGTTCTCGGCATGTGATGATGAGAAATAAGAGTACTTCTTGTAGTTGTGTGTTTTGTGTTTGGTTTTTTTTAAACATAAGATCCATAAGATCCAACAAGGCAAAGCTTAGAGGGATTTTCAGAGCCAAAGGGTCTGAGGGTTTCAAAGGGTCTGAGGGTCTGGAGCGGATCGGTGAAGCTTCGCGGTGCTTGGCAGGGTGCTAGACACTGTTCTAATACATTTTTTGTCCATTATTTTATTTTTGAATATTTTTTCGAAATGTATTTGACTTGATTTCTGTTTTTTTTCTTTTCTTTCAGGTTTTGTGTGCGTGTGTGAAATGAACGATGAACCAAAACACTATTTATATGTAACAACAGCCAATTGCAACTTATTCATAAGATAATCGCACAAAATAATAAATAATATCATGTTTATCAACCAAAGGCTACAAACGAATAAGTGTTAACGTAATCAAGGTCATTTCAGTTTTTGATACAACTAATGGGTTTTTTGTATTATTTTTTATAAAAATTTCTTTCATTTTTTTTCTGTTTTTTTTTTTGCACACAAGTACCCAATTCAAAATGATAATCATGTAAAGAGTTTTGCTTTCACTACAGTATCTGTAAATCTAATATATATATACACCCGATGGGTCAGAGTTCAGGCGGACAAACGGACAGAAGGACTGGCGGACAGACGGACAGATGGACGTTGTCCTGCGAAATGAAAGCTTCGGCAAACTCATTACATTTTCGATTAAAAGCATCTAGTTTTTGGATTTAAAATATTTTTGAAAAATATTTTTATACATATGTATATAATATATATTGTTAGAATATTCATTAGTATATATTTTGTAAAATAAATCATGTCCTACAGCGGACACTGACTTGTGTGTTTTATTTGGAATGGAATGAAGACTTGAACATTTTTGAATCTGTTTGGATTTTGTTGACTAACTCAGTGTAGTATCAGGATCTTTCTGCATCTCCCCTGTTATGTCCCTAATAACCATTACCCTTCCCAAGTCCTTGTTCTAAAAAGCCCAAGTCCTGTATTCAGTTTCAGTCACTAACCTTGTCGGGCGCCGAGATATCCGCAGAACGCGGTGGTTCCTCACTGATGGTCGGCTCATTCGGCGGCAGTCTCTGCTCCTGAACACTTGCCAAGCTATAATTGATATATATTCTAATTTCTAAATATTTTTAATATTTTTTTGATTAAATAACAAACCGTTTTAGTGTCACTAGGGTGCCGGTTAGCTTTTTACAGCGACGTAGCGCCGACTCCAGGCGATCGGGCTCTTCCTTGAGGAACTTTTCTTCGCGTACCACCTTTTCCATTTCATTGGAGAGGATGCAACGCAGTCCATTGGACAAAGCTGGGAATTTGAGCTTTAATTCGGCCACGGTTTTGCTAGAAGACAGGACATTATTAATATTATTATTTAAAAAATAATTAACAGCTTACCTGGCCCTGCTCAGCACCAGAGCCATGTCTTCCACGGCGGTCATGTTGACGCGAGTTCGCCGATTGATGACCTCGCCCCGTAGATTCTCCACAGAGGCCTCCAGGTCGCTGAGATCCTTTTCCAGGCGGATCACCTCCTGCTTGTAGAGCTCTTCCTCTCTCGATATCCGTGTGGCATCCTGATCGCCCTGATGGCCCCAAAAGCTGCCACTGCTGGCCAAGAGTGTGGCCCGAATGCGCATAAAAGTGCCCTTGATGTCCTCGCGAACGGCCACGGCCTGGGCCTGGGAGAGGCGCCTCAGGGTGCGTACCTCCATACGCAGATCCTTGGCCTTCTTTTGGAGTCCACGCAAATGATTGTAGACCTCGGGAGCCAAGGCAATGTCCGCCCGGTAGCTGGGATGGGCGGTCTGGGCCAAAACAATGGGTTTGGGTGGCGGAGGAGGCTTCAAGCGATCGCGTTCTGAGATATTCAAATGATATATTATATTTATAAGGATTTAAGGATTAAAACGAAAGAGTGTAAGAGGTGAGTGGTGATTCTTGTGATCAGTGATTGGTGATCGGTGATCGGTGATCAGTGACTGTGGCAGGCGTGATCCGGGTGTCTTACCTTGGGATGAGGTGCGCGGTAGGGTGGACGACTTGATTGCCGGCTTGGTTGGCTTCGTATCAGCTATCCCAGGTGGAAACACAGAAAACAGAAAGATCTTAAGCAATTTAAACCCCTAAAGATATAATTCTAAACCAAAAGTCTAATAAACAAAAGAAGAAACTAATAATCTTTAAAAGAAAATATCTAAAAAGTTGAAATTACCAGCATGTAGAGGACTGTGAGACTTGGGTATTCCCTGTATGTCATCGCTAAAGGACACTGACTTCTCAAAGGACACGGATTTTTCTGCAAGACAAGGACAAGGTGCAAGGATGTCTAGAATTTGGCCAGGACTCTTATATATTTATTTTTTTTAAATTTTCAACTTACGGCACGAGTTCTTGCCCAACTTGGGAGCTTTCTCCCTAATGTACAGATCATCCCCAGAGCCATTGGCTGTGCATTTAATTGAAAAATAAAAGGATCAAAGCATAAGGATTAAAGGATGTGAGATCCTGACGACCTGAAGTCTTAAAGCATCGAAGCATCAAAGCTGAGTGCAGAGACACAAAACACACACAGATATCCATAAAAATGAGAAAAGTACTTACCTTGCATCTGTGATGGAACGACCAGGTAATTGGGATCCAATGTGGGCACCGCCAGTGGTGCAATCTGCGGGTTCTGATTAACCAATGCCTTCTGCACCAGACCCGTCAGGTTGGCCAGTTGCCGCTCCATGTGCTCCACGCGAATCCGGTGCAGGTCTTCTGGCCTAAAACCAAAAAACCGAAAATAATTAACGCAAAAAGACGCATTTTAAAGAAAAAGGCATAAAAATAAAAGCGAAAACACGCGAAATCAGTCCAAACATGTCGCCAAAGTATTGCGTGTTTTTTTTTTGTAATTTTTGCTTTGAGTTTACTGGGCCACATATCCGTTTGTAGTGCTCCAATTACTTTGGGTTAAGATTAACCCACTGAGATGGTTTTTTAAAGGAGAGTTAGTAAAGAAATTATGGTGATCTAGAGGTCTAGATATGTAAAAGCTCTGATAAATGCTCTAGTGGGGCTTATTTTTATCACAAAAGTTGAAAAATCGGACACGAGGGCAGGGCTATAAAGGTTCTATTTTTCCATACTATTTTTCTAATATTGGTATAATATTTTTGAAGACTTCTATTTTAATTCCAGTACTTGTATAAATACATAAAAGCTATAAGAATTTAATGAAAATGGAAAAATGGACAGTCGGACAAGGTTAGATCACCTACTCCCCTACCCTTTTTAAACCTTTTCTTTAAAAATATTTTTCAAATTTCTTAAATCTCTAGCTCTATTAATCTAATAACCTTTAGAGTGTTAAGATTCTCACACACCGGAATCGGAATTGAAATGAAAAACTGCATTTTGTGCATGAGAGCGTGAACCAAGAAACCCAAAACAAACCGGCAAGAATGTGGCTATTATTTATGGCTTTAACTCACAGCCAAGCTAATACCCTCTACCGCTTTAAAATGATGAATAGAAACCACCAAGTCTAGTCTGTCGAATATACCCCAACAATACCCAGTGACGGTTCAAAAGTAGTGCAATTTCTGAAGCAGATTGCTCAGTCGTCTGTCGAAGGCCAGTGGGATTGGATCCAAAAAAAAAAAACCGAAAAGCAACATGACTACTTGCAGTGGTATGTACTCTTAATCTTAACGTGGAAGAAAAAAAAAATAAAAGTTAAGCAATTGTGTAAACCATTTGATCGAAAGTGACCAGCACGCCGGCAAGATTTGCGCGATGTCTGGCCAATTTCCAGGTGGATGAACTGCTTTTGCTCAAGAAATCGGTCCAGAGAATGGAACTGGAGGAGGAGTTTGTCGATGAGGCGGGCATCGATTACTCGGTTATGAGTAGAAGTATCACATCCACAACAACCACTGCAACGATTATGGAAACTCCATTGGAGGGAAAGGAAGAAATGCCAGAAAGACTGCCTCTAATGGCAGCAGATAGGTGAGAATTTTAAAACTAAAAGTTTGGGTATAACCTTTAAAATAATTATCTCAGAGGTGGTCATGATCCTGGACCCTGGCACTCTTCGGATCACCATCAGCCCTCGCCGAGTTCCTGGGAGGAACAGAAACCGACTAAACTTCAGACTCTCTTTCAAATCAGCATTACGGGTCTGGCATTTCTATCTTTCGGAGGCTATCTATTATGTCTGATTGTTCAGGCCATCAAGAGCAAGGGCACTACGTATTTCCACCCAGTGGCCAGCACCGCCGCCTCCAATGGAAACACCAAACGCATCAAGGTCTATAGAAGGGGCCGGAGAAGTAAACCTAATCCTAGTCCTATTGGTAGTATTCTTCAGCAGGACTATGCCTCGTATATGAGGAATATTCGGGGCAGGATACTCACCTAGTGGGATCGTAGATCTGGTTTCCACGATGTGGCAGGCGATTGGGTCCCACCTTGATTCCATAGAGAGCATACTGATCCTCGGTAAGGGTTCCATCGCTAAAAAAATGTTAAAAATATTAGTCAAATTTTAAAGTCTCTAAAAAAAATATTTAAAAAATTATTTAGATAACTTAATCACATTTTTTTTATTTCTTAACTTTTTAAGAACTTAAATACAACATTTGAGAACAATATCTTGAATATATAATAAGTTATGCGATTTTTAGACAAGAGACTTTTTCTTATAAACATGAACCGATAGTTCTGGTTCTAAATTTTTGAAATAGGTTTCTTAAAAGTTGTTTTAAAAAAATTATATTTAATCAATCAGGCTAAATAATAGCTTAAATAAAAGATATTAATATATATATGTTAAAAAAATATAAAACAAATTTTTAAATATTTTTTTTATATCAAATAATACTACTCTAAAACTCACCTTTGTTCTTCATCTATAATCGGAGCCACAACAGTACCCCTGGTTCCATATTGACTATAATAGGGTTCTTCGTAATTCCCACGGCTACTCCGCTCCGGAGAACTGGTATAACCATCTACCGATCATTAAACATTAGTTTTAAAGAATTTTTATGAATAATATTTAAGTTTTAATATATTTAAAAGTGTCTTGAATTTGGGAAAACAAAAATTAAAAGACAAACAATAAAAAATGAAAGTAAAAACGGATGGGGGATGCATTTTGATTGAAATCTTTCCAATACGATTGTCGTGTATTATGTAAATGGCATAATTTTTTAGTGCAAATCTCATAAAATTGATAGATAAATTGAAATTTCAGTTCAGCAAATCCAGAAAGCAAGCCAAAGCCAATAAATGTTTAAATCAGAAGAAGTATATGAATGACGAATGGTTATGATTGTGATTTCATATAGATATATGGCACAATATCTATAGCTATATCTTAGCTATTTATTAGCTATTTGCTAGCTATATGGTAGCTATGTATGTATATCTAAAATATAAGTTCTCGTTGTGTACCTGGAATGCTATATAACTGATCCGGGGTGTAGGGGAACAGGGGTTCCATGCTACCCCTTGGATTAAGTGATCTGAGTGGTTTCACTGGCGCTCCTTTTTATATTTTCGATTTCGATAAAATATTTTTCAGATTGTTTGTTTTTTTTTTTTTGGGTAAATTGTGGTGATGGTGTGGTAATCGGTTAATGGATGGTATCATGAATCATATATAGATTTTGGATAATCCACATGGATGGAGAAGAACTGAGAATACTGAATACTGAACAGAACCGAACGCAAGAGAAGTCAAGGATGTACGGATCAGGATTACAAAAAGGTATCATTACATTTGAAATTATTTAAAAATTATTTTTTATTAATAATACATATATATCTTTTTTTTTTTGTTGGATCGATTAACTGAAAATTGGGTCCACTAAATGGGAATACGAAAAGTAGGAAAAAATTAGTCGAAATTCCCTCGACTCGCTACGCACCCATAGAGACTTTGTTGCGTTCTGAGGAGTACATGCCCCGGGGCAGGGTCTGGGAGGAGCCAACATAGTACGGTGCCGGTTGTTTTCCAATCTGTAAAATATAATACAAAAAAAAAATATATAAATATTTATAGAGTGATAGCAAAGGGGATTTGTTGAATGAATGGCCGGAGGGCTAACTGATTTTGCTACTTTGCCAATTGGCCTTCGTTCAAGTGGCGAAAAGTTAAATATGGTTTCTCCTCTTTTTAATTTAGCGGCCTATCCCCTAAAACACGAAAAAACATTGCACATACAAGCACGTTTTTCATAAACATACACTGGGAGAAAATTAGGAGATTATATTATTTTATTAAAATAATTTTCCTAATAGGTATGTCTTTGAAAACTACAATAGAGAGAGCCTTTCCTGGTTTAATATTTATGATAGTTTTAGTCTTATTATTAATTATATTAATTTCTTAACTTAAAACTTAGTTTATTAGAAGTCTTAAATCTATTGTTTGGGTTTTATTTCTCTTATAAATTATTTTCTATAAATTCTATAGGCTTTTAAAGCCTCTTTTAAGACAAAAACTATTAAAAGTTTGGCCTTTATTTTTTATAATTTCTTCACGATTTTTTCTCTCAACTTTTGTAAAAGTTATATAACATTTTTTAGCAGTGCCTTGACTTTGGCTTGGTCTTGGACTTGGATTTTGGACTGAAGCGTGATGGATTCGGATCCACGCTTTTAAAATCGAGGCGTGTGCCAGGGACGGTGGCAGTGGCAAGATGAATAACCATTTAATTGCCACACTTACTGGCCACCACCCGCTAGTGGATCCAAATCGAATATTCCCTATTCTTCATAAGATCCAGTGGGTCAGGGGCAATACTGTTTTTAGGATCTATTCTCTTGTCTCGAAAACCCAAAAATAAATCATAATAATAATTGCAAATGATAAATTATTGAGTGCAATGCCAGTGGTGCAAGTGGTTGGATGGATGGTTGGGTTGGGTTGGATTGGTGGTTTTATTTCTTGGCTCTTGTTGTTGTTGCTGCTACAGTTATTGCTGTTGTTGTTGTTGTTGGCTCATTCACAATTGCTGGTTTGCAGCCACCACAGCAGAAACCTCTCAACCAGTTTCTGTTTCAGTTTCAATTTCAATACAAAAAACAGAAAAAAAATCCCAACAGTTTACAATTTTTGTTACAACTCGGCGAGAGCAGCTGAGCGCCGGATTGGAGCGCGGCATAGTGGTGTTATTGTTTTTTATACAATTTTTTTTTTGTTATTTTTTTTTTTTCTTGGCTTTAATGCTTTTGGCCGCAAAGCAACTCAACTTGGCTGTGGCGCATGCGTGGATGATTAGTGAAGTGCGAGACATCGCGGCAATCGGACGTTGCAGACCTAGGACTTGACAACAAAAAATATAGGATTATAAACTAAATAGCAACTTTAAAAAATGCAGGGAATATTCAGAGTGTTACTCGTACTGGGGGTCAGCTCATCCCTGGCTCTGGCCTGGAAGCCCATCAGTGGCAGTACGGCGGCCTACAGCCTCAAACAATCGCATCCCGGGGCGGCGAGCAGCAGCCACGAGCTGAGCACCAGTTTCACGGATCCCACAGGTGCCGGCGAGGACGAGGACCCCCAGCTACTCCTTAGCCGGGCCAGGCCCATTTCCTTTGAGGATCAGTACGAGTCCTACAGCCTGGAGGATGCCACTGTGCCCAAGGATCATGGCTTCACAAGGACTCCATTGTACGGCTCCAACGAGTGCAGCGTGAAAAAGTTTGCCTTTAACCAGGATGGGGAAGTGGAGTATGGTAATCATCTGCCGGAACTGGACCAGTTCACCATATGCTTTTGGATGCGATTCACCAATCACACTGGCGACCATGTCCTCTTGACCTACGAGGGTGAGTAATCCAAAGATATGGCTTTGATTTTCGTTGCCACCTCTCACTCCGGCTATCACCGTGACTTTGCAACAATAGCGATCTCAATGAACTGTTGCATAAGCAGATCTTTTGATGGGCAGACCCACCATAAAAAAAAAAACAGACAGAAAAAAAACAAAATAATAATAATAGGAGTAAGAGTAAGAGTAACAGTAACAGAGACCTTCGCTCTGGGCAATGAAATTTGTGGGCCACGCTCCAATGGATCGCACCTGGCTGCGAAAGTGAAAGGAAGCCCACTTCCTGATCCAGCCAGCCAGACGACAGGTTGCTCCGCTTGATGCTCCGAGATCGTTAGCTCAGAGATTACAGAGACGGAGGCTGGCATCTGGTAGATGCCGTCTAGTGGCTGGCGGCTCCTCCTTGATCGACAGCTGCCGGAGATGCCACAGTGTGGTGGCAAATGTCAAAATAGAAAAGGTGTGCTTCGCCAAATGGGTCTTGACATGCCGCTGATAGGAAGTGTCTGGCTATCAGCTACCTAATGAGATACACTCAAAGAAAATGGGGTTCAGAATTTGTAGAAAAAGTGAATTAAATATTTAAAGTTTAACCTCGTGGTTTAAAGGCCTTTTTTTTCAAGGAAGTCTTTTCTTAAATATTCTAGAAGAATATTGTAATTATTGGTTTTTGAAAATTAAATAGTTACTTGACTGATTTATAGTTTAAAAATATTTTAAAGAAAATCTTCAAGATTTTAAAATCTTCACCAGCTTCTTTAAAAAATTCTTAAATATATTTCCTTGTTTTTATAGAAAAATCTATTATAAAATAACCTAAACAGACTAATACCTATACCTATACCATTTGTTTTTGAAAAACACATAGATTTTTCTGGATTTTAAAACTAAATTTTTGTCTTTTCAAAAATGCATTTTATAAAATTCTAAAATATTTTTTAAAGCTAAAAACTTATTCTAGGAGAAAAAAAATATTTTTTAGCCATTTTAAACATACTCTTTTAAAGATTTTTTGAAAGAAATACAAGCTTGAATTTGTAGAACCATTTTTAAAGACAGAGTTAAGGCTTAAGTTTTCCCAGCTTAAAAAATATTTTTTAAACAAAATAAAACTAAGAATATAAAAGAATTTTTTAAACTAAAACATTCCAGACCAATATCTTTTTAACATCAAATATTCCAGCTATTATAAATTCCATGTAGTTGTCTGGAATAATTTTTAGTTTAAATGTCAACCAGACTTGTAATGAAATTCCACCATAATTCCTAAGAAAAGTGGTCTTAGAATGCAAATAGAAAGTATGTATTTGAGTTGAAAAAAATGCTTAACATTTTTTGAATATTTTATAAATAAACTGATAAAATGTAAAAAATTATAGACTCCTATTAACAATATATTTTATAGTTTATGATGGAAAAGTCAACCAAAAGAAAGGTTTATTTTCGTCTTAAAAATTTGTTCGTATTTTTTTCGGAAATTTTTTTTGTGAAAATTTTTAACTGCTCCAATGTTGTTGTTGGTGCTGCGATTTAGTTACTATATGTTGTTGTTGTTGGCGTTGCGGTCGCATTACATAAGCGATAATTTACCTGTTTCCAGTTGGATGTCGTCGTCGCCGTCGTCGTCGTGGTCGGTCTGTCGGTCGTTTGGTCTTCATTGTTGGTGTCGCTCACTCCTCACTCCCCAGTTATTTCTCACCATATCATAGTATTATTTTTTCTGCTATTTATATATATATATTTTTTTAAATTGAATCCAACCGACTGTCTAGTCGACTGACTGACTTTAGCATTTGACATAATTCCAAAGCCTCAATTCGAGTAGCGGTCCGGTGATCTCTCCAGCTGCTTCCGGATTTGGGAGTGGAGGGGGAGATAGGAAATGTTTTTCCCACACACTCTGCTGGGGTGATTCATATTTAAATATATGCATATCAGAGCCATAGCCATAGCCAGAGCTAAGCCTAACAGGATTTATTCCAGCCGGTTGTATAACCCCTTCCCATTATAGAGAGAAATGTTTAAATGATTAAATGATCTCTGGTGATCAAGTAATCTCATCTATTTCCTCAACATAATTTTAAATTTTTTCTACTTTCGATTGTCTAAAAATCTGAAAATGCAAGTGTTATAATTTCACAATCTTTTTGATTTGAAGCCGGCAAGGAACCAAGAGAAGTACAAATCTGGGTCGCCAATGCGCAGAATTCCAGTTTCCTATCGATGGCCATAAAAGGTCAGCAAATGTTCAGGTAAGTGAGGTGTCTGCACCATCGATCATCAGGCCAATTGATCAAATCTGGTTTCCATTTTTTTTTTCTTTTGATTTAGATTGAATTATCCATTGAAAATGCGTCAGTGGCATCATATGTGCAGCTCGTGGAATGGCAAGACCGGCGAGTGGCAGGCCTGGCTGAAGGCAGAACGGATTGGGCGCGGCTTCCACAACTCGGTGAGTGGATTGGCGTTTGCTTTTGGCCATTTTGTCTCCAATTACATGAATTGCCAAATGATTGAGTAATCTAATATATACCCTACTTGTCTACCTATCGCCATCCTATAGCTTGTGGGCCACAAAGTTCCAGCGAACGGCAAGCTGCGTTCCGGCGGCAGCTCCGTCACCGGCGAGGTGAGCCACGGCCTCCACTTTGAGATGACCCTCGTCCAGGTCTACCGGGTGGCGTTGAGCGCCGGCAAGGCCCATCGGGATCACAAGCATCATCATGTCCATCATTTCGATCACGAGGGTCAAGAGGTTCCCAGCACTACGAGGGCTCCGCCAACGGTGAGTTGTTAAATCTTTCCGGATTATATTTTGTTGCCAGATTTTGATGCAGATTCATGGGAAATCGATCCACAAATCGTTTAAGGTATTCCTCGCAAGAATCGGATGAGAATTGGCCAAGATATGGCCTTCCCAGTGGGCTGTAAGCCAAAAGCCCACTTTTTAAAGGGGTCTCCCCAGAAAAATATGAAAAAAATCTAAAAAATATTTTGTTGCCAGATTTTGATGCAGATTCATAGTAAATCGATCCACAAATCGATTAAGGTATTCCTCGCAAGAATCGGATGAGAATTGGCCAATATATGGCCTTCCCAGGGGGCTATCAACCAAAAACCCACTTTTTGAAGGGGTCTCCCCAGAAAAATATGAAAAAAATCTAAAAAATATTTTGTTGCCAGATTTTGATGCAGTTTTATGGTAAATCGATCCACAAATAGATTAAGGTATTCCTCGCAAGAATCGGATGAGAATTGGCCAAGATATGGCCTTCCCAGTGAGCTATAAGCCAAAATCCCACTTTTTAAAAGGGTCTCCCCAGAAAAATATGAAAAAAATCTAAAAAATATTTTGTTGCCAGATTTTGATGCAGAATGATGGGAAATCGATCCACAAATCGATTAAGGTATTCCTCGCAAGAATCGGATGAGAATTGGCCGAGATATGGCCTTCCCAGGGGCTATAAGCCAAAAACCCACTTTTTGAAGGGGTCTGCCCAGGAAAAATATGAAAAAAATCTAAAAAATATTTTGGTGCTAGATTTTGATGCAGATTCGTGGTAAATCGATCCACAAATCTATTAAGATACTCCTTGCAAGAATCGGATGAGAATTGGCCGAGATATGGCCTTCCCAGGGGGCTATAGGCCAAAAACCCACTTTTTGAAGGAAGGTCTCCCCAGGAAAAATATGAAAAAATTTAAAAAATATTTTGTGTCCAGATTTTGATGCAGAATGATGGGAAATCCATCCACAAATCGATTAAGGTACTCCTCGCAAGAATCGGATGAGAATTGGCCAAGATATGGCCTACCCAGGGGGCTGTAAGACAAAAACCCACTTTTGAAGGGGTCTGCCCAGGAAAAATATGAAAAAAATCTAAAAAATATTGTGTCCAGATTTTGATGCAGAATGATGGGAAATCGATCCACAAATCGATTAAGGTATTCCTCGCAAGAATCGGATGAGAATTGGCCGAGATATGGCCTTCCCAGGGGCTATAAGCCAAAAACCCACTTTTTGAAGGGGTCTGCCCAGGAAAAATATGAAAAAAATCTAAAAAATATTTTGGTGCTAGATTTTGATGCAGATTCGTGGTAAATCGATCCACAAATCTATTAAGATACTCCTTGCAAGAATCGGATGAGAATTGGCCGAGATATGGCCTTCCCAGGGGGCTATAGGCCAAAAACCCACTTTTTGAAGGAAGGTCTCCCCAGGAAAAATATGAAAAAAATTTAAAAAATATTTTGTGTCCAGATTTTGATGCAGAATGATGGGAAATCCATCCACAAATCGATTAAGGTACTCCTCGCAAGAATCGGATGAGAATTGGCCAAGATATGGCCTACCCAGGGGGCTGTAAGACAAAAACCCACTTTTGAAGGGGTCTGCCCAGGAAAAATATGAAAAAAATCTAAAAAATATTTTGTTGCCAGATTTTGATGCAGATTCATGGGAAATCAATCCACAAATCGATTAAGGTATTCCTCGCAAGAACCGGATGAGAATTGGTCGAGATATGGCCTTCGCAGTGGGCCATACCTAGAAATCACACTTTTTCAAGAGGTCTCCCCAGCAAAAGTCTATCCTCAGAGTAGGTTATGGTTCTTAAGGCTTTAAAGATATATTCTTCAATGAATTATTAGGTCCTTCTCTATAAAAACCTATTTTTACATATCTTCTCTAATCCCCTTGCAGATAAATCGCCCCCAGCCGATGCACACACTCCTTGCCAGCGGACAAATCCCCACCAGAGTTCGCATTAATCTGGCCAATCCCCCGCCGGCGAATAGTGCCAGTCCGGCTCCTCCAGCTGCTCCAGGCAGCGACCCCCAGGCCATCACGATCAATACCAACTTTGTGAATGGACAGATCAATGCCGGATCCCGACTGGTGGCCCAACAACTGCTGGGACTTCCCGCCCAAAGTGGCGGCAATCGATTCCACATGCTGAGCAACTCGGCCAACGTGCAGTTCATCGACGAGACGGAAACCCACATCAAGTTCAAGCGGGAGACGGAAAAGAAGCTCCAGAAACGTGGCCTGGTCCTGCTGGAGGACGGCTCCGTGGTGGACGATGGAACGACTGCTGGCGATGGAAGCGGGGCGAGTGAGATCTACAATGGCCTGGCCGACTTCGGGGGCCAGCAGTTCAAACAGGACCTGACCCTGAAGATGAACCTCGAGGAGGAGATCAGCACCCACGACCGGGAGCCGGCCGAGGAGGAGGTCAAGGCGGTGATGGCGATATGTAGTACCTGCCACACGGAACCCTTCCAGGGCGCCATCGTGTTTGCCTGGAAGGATGTCCGCGAGCAGATGAACAATGCCCTCAAAGGACTCAGTGTCGGCTCTTGCGGCAACTTCTAGTTATCTTCCGGTGGCTCCTTCCCATCCGGAAATCTATTTAAGCTTTTTATGATTTTTTTTTTTTTAATAACTTGTATATATGTATGATTTTGGCTAGGGATCTTCCGCTTCTCCGGCCTGTCCATGAGTAAGTCAATGTCAGAGGCAAACACCTTGACTCGCTCATGGACAGGATATTATTTCCCAATCATCAGCCGAGATCCTAATCCCTAAAATCCCTAAACCCATTAATAAGCGGTGATATTGAATAATAAAGAAAACGATGTATCATATTTAAAACCAAGAACGAGTCTTTGAGATTGCATTAAGACTGAAGGATATATCAAGGATATATATCAATAATAGAGTATAAAAAGTTTCAGATGGATATCCTTTATCCAAAAGAGCCACCCACTCACCTTTGATTTGTGTATATGCTGGTGTTTGTAGTCCGAATCGAATTCCGGCTCACTGAAATAGCTCTGATCCTGATCCCAGGCATTGGCATTGGGCGCCTGTGCCTGCGGCAGGGGCTGTGGTATGCCAGGACCTCCGGGCAATATCTGGGGCGGGGCAGCCACTTCGGTGGACTCGAATAGTCGCAACACCGAACGATCCCGTATTTCCCGAAGATGCGACCTCACATCCTCCAGTTCGTAGAACATATCCTTGCTGGCATCATGAATATAGATCTTGACATTGGGCCCCTCCAGATACGACATGGTGAGCTGTCGGGGAAAGGATCTTACGAACAACGCCCGCACCGTGTCGATCGATGTAATTTCATTTGGCAACAGAGCTCTCTTCGTCTCCGACCGATATTGGAGAAAAACCAGGCCCAGAGGACGCTCCAGGGTCTTGGAGGGTGTGCGCACCACGGGCAGGGAGGACCTCTGCTTGCCGCCGCGTCGAAAGCCCGTGCTGGCCGTCTCCACCTCGGACATAATGCCCGGATCATCGTCGAAGAGCGGACCCTGGTTGACGGGCGCATATCCCCGCATGGGTTGGTTCTTCTTGTTCTTTTGGGCGCGAGTGCTCATCTGGAGGGAAAATAATAATTTTTAATTAATTTAAAGTTCTTGTTTGGACCTCACCTCTAGGTCCATGGCCCGCTGCTGCTGGGGGGCCATTTGGTGGGCGTGCGGATGCTGGGAGCCACCGTAGACGAGCATATCCCCGCCCAGGGTGTCTCGCCTCGGATCGTCCCGTCGCATGTTACGTCTTCGCTCATCGCCACCGCCTTGAAAATTAAACAGAACCATTAGGTCTTCTTAATTCTATCTTAATTAATTATTTAAAATTAAGGAAATTAATTTTAAATGATTTTTGTACTCACCCTGTTCGTTTGGCGGCATTCGTCCCGACTTGTTCTCATTCTGCCAGTCTTCTTCTGGAAGAGATGGGGATACCTAGTTCTCCGCCCTATTGATGACAACAAGGACCTGCCCGGATACTCACCGCCTTCGCGTCCCTTGCGCTTCTTTTTGGAGGAGGAGCTGCTGCTGCCACAGGCGCTCTGATTGGAGGAGGCGCTCTTGTCTTTGCTCTTCCAGCGGATCAACATCCTGTCCAGGAATCTATATCACGATCTGCAAATAACCATTTGTTTACTTTTCCCGAAAAACAAACACCAGCAACCGGCAACTGGATGTGTACATATGTATGTCGTTGGGATACTTTGGTATCGGACTGGTTTTAAGGTCCAACTTTTTGGTGTAGATAAGCCAAAAAATATATGCTAAGGGTATGTGTGTAGGTGGGCGGTTGGGCAAGTGGGTGGGATGCTGATTTTTTTTTTTTGTTATGGGGATGGGTTGGGTTTTTGGCCGCCCCTTCGTCCTTTGACTTTTGAGAATGCGAGTAGGTGTGGTGGAATGCAAAGCAGTAGCAGTGGCAGTAGCATCACGGTGCAACACTGTGGCAAGTGTGGCAGAAAGGATGCGGACGGCCTCAGCATCAATGGGAGTGCGCAAACTCCGCCACGGAAAATCCTGGCAGAGATCTCTGGCATTTTTGGTCAGTAGGTAGGCTCAATGCAACCCGGCAAAGATAAACTCCCCGGGGAGTGGATGATGATGCCTCCCACTCGAATGACTTTAAAACACACCCACTAACACACATACTTTCTCCTTACTTTTCTGTATTTTATGAATTTTTTTTTAAATATTTCTAGAGGAGTTGTTTTTGGTCGGTGTGTGTATACGGAGTGGCACGCTTTTACGCCGTAATTGCGGGCACTGAAGGAATTTTAGATTAGAATTTAGAGGTGCGGCGTTGCCCAGTTTTTCTCCTCGAGAACGCCTCTATTTACACGCTCTGACTAAAGAGAGAGAGCGAGGAAAATGGAGAGTGGGGAAAATTCCCTAGAGAAGGGCCAAGAGAGATATGGGAGGGGGCGGCGGTGTGTGTGCCAGAAACATCCAGGACGATTCGCTGGCAGGACAATGCAATTGCGATGCACCCCATCATTTTTATTGTTGACTTTTTATTTTTCTAAGAATTAACTCTTTCAGGAATTGGATTCTATACCGCCGGCGGCGTTTTCACTATTTTTTTTGTTTTTTTTTTTTAATAAACGCACCTGGCTTTCAAGCAAAGATTCCAAAATCCCACGCACACACACAACACAAGGGCTCTAAACTCTTAGGCCCTCAAAACTAAACTCATAGTTATAGTTTTATTTTTTTTAGATTTTTTTCTTTAAGTTTTCTGATTTTATGATTTTTGACTTTTGCTATCCGGAATAGCCAATCTCCTCCTGCACTTCTGCAAACACACACACAGACACACCGAGAGTTACTAAAAAAACACACAACCGAGCACTCCAGAGCCGCAGCAGAACGGCAGAACGGCTGGAGAGCACAAATATTTCTGGTATATCTACACCGGAAAGCGTTTCCGCCCTAAACCGAGTCCCATAGCGATGGGGCTGCCACGGCGCAGGCGCATTGGGGGTTGGCCCGTGGAAGCCCTGGCACATCAGGCGTGCTGGGCGCGTGACCTTTTCTTTGAATTCTCCAGTTGATATTTCGTGGCGGGAAAGTTTTGCTTTATTTTTGATGTTTTTAACAGACAATTATGTGGCTAGAAAATAATAAAAACAAATCAGGAGGAAGCCATTGCTTTTTTATGGATAATATGAAAGATCTCACCTTACAACTTCTATAACTTATAGCTTATAGTCATATGCCTATGGATCTAAGCTTATAGTTCTTCAATATCCATTCTTTTTATAAAAACACTCTTCAACAGTGGCAAATAGCAAATATTACGCATATTTCATCAGAATTCGAATCATAACAAACATCCGCCATTTTGTAATCTGGCATCCCTAGTACTTTTCTCCAAAACATGGCGGTGAAGCTGGAAATTTTCGATAATAAAAAAAAATTGGAGAATCGATAATAAAACAAAATATTTATTTTAAATTTAAATATATTTTAAAAAATATTAATAATTATTTAAATGCCTTCTATTATAAAAAATCTTTAATAGCTTACACAAAAATATTCCTCAATATTTATCGTTTATCGATTGTGCTTTTTAAAAAAAATAAAAAAAAAACTGAAAAGGGTAAAAGGTGACACAGGTGGCCAATGACCAGCTATGCTAGTTCTTAGAAGGCTAACCAGGTGGGGGAATAAATTTTCCCGGACAATACACAACCTTATAGACTTTGCCGGAGCATGGCCTGCCTCGGAGAGATGTGCCTTCGAAAAGGATATGCGAGTCCGGCAGGATTTCGTAACAGCTGAGGAGGAGCAGAGCCTTCTGCAGGAAATAGAGCCCCATCTCCGCCGGTTGCCTTACGAAACAAGTCACTGGGATGAGGCCATTCATGGTTATAGGGAAACAGAGCAGAGGAATTGGAATTCCAGGAATCGTTTAATCCTTGAAAGGATAAGCCAATTGGCCTTTAATGGACAGGCTATGCCCTATGTACATGTCCTAGATCTGGCCGAGAGTGGGGTAATAAAGCCACATGTGGACAGCACAAGGGTTTGTATTAATAAAAAAATAATAAAATAATAATTTTTTATTAATAATAAAATAACTTTATAGTTTTGTGGCGACACCATTGCTGGACTCAGCCTCCTGAGTGATAGTGTTATGCGATTGGTCAAAGTTTCGGATGCTAAGATAGTGCCATACTGGGCAGATCTGTTCCTTCCCAGACGTTCCCTTTATGTGATGTCGTGCCTGGCCCGATATCACTTTACCCACGAGATTCTTGTTGGAGATTTGGCAACCTTTCAATCGAAGTTGATACTTCGAAAGCGTCGAGTCTCAGTCATTTGTCGTAACGAGCCGTAACGAAAAAAAAAAACCTAAAGCTTATAACAAATATCTGATCTTTCATCGAAAATGCTGACTTATCTTTACAATCTTCTGGCTTGGATCTGGACCCGCAGCAGGATCAAGGAGCTTTTTCCTCTGGTCGGTATTACCGACCGGGCGGGTGAGAATCAAGAAACTGACCTGGCGGAAGGTAAATGCTTGGCTCCAATCGAAAAAATAAAGGACATGATCGACCCACGTGCTCAACCTGCCGATTCGGTGCGCGACGTCGAGATTATCAAGAAGTCTCCAATGAACATGTTTGAAATACTCTACGCCATGGCGCCAGGAATACTTTCGTTTACCGTCCTGATTATTATTATCTCTGGTATAATTTGGTACAAGAATAATTCCAAGAAGAAAGTTCCTACCCAGAAGCCGATCGTGAAGATGTGTGCCAATAAGAGTGTCCAAACCAGCTATGTCTACTCTAAAGAACAGATTGCGTCCTTCAGGAAGCGTAAGATACCCCAATATATGGACGACAACGATTCGACTAAAAAGAACAAGACCGAGTTGGATGCTTTTGAGGATTATATTAAAAACAATTGCGCACCGCAACCTCCTCAGGAGCTACTCGACAATATGGAACAATTTCAGAAGCAATTCGAAATGGCTGCTTCTCCAAACCAGCATGGAGTTGACACGGAATCCCAAACTGAAAGTGAAGCTGGTACTGACCTGGCACTGGGAATGGAAGAACAGCGCAATCCGACTGGGGACTGGATGCCATTTTCACAGACTGGCGAGGAGTTCTGGACCAACAAGATTACTATTCCAGGAGCTGGACTCGAATGCAACCCGAAAAAAGGTGCAGTATTGTTTGTAAAAGTTGAATTAGAAATTCTAAACATATTTTTATCAATATTTTTATGATTTATTTCCCAAATTCTAATAATTTTTCTTTTTTTAAATATAGAAAATGCCGGCGATGTGTTGATGATGAAGCCTTCTGGATCTAAAACCCTCTTTAACCTACAGAAAGGTGCATTCGATTTTTCAAAAATAGAATTAGAAATCCTAAACCTACTTTATCAATATTTTATGATTTATTCTCTAAATTCTAATAATTTGTCTTCTTCAAAATATAGAAGCCGATGAGCTATTAATGAAGGCTGCTGGATCTAAAATCAAGGACATACTAGCTAGTGTACCCAACACCACCCAGACCGGCGATGAGTTGATGATGAAACCTTCTGGATCTAAGACCATCTTTAACCTACCGAAAGGTGCAGTCAATTTTTTAAAAATAGAAATCCTAAACCTATTTTTATCAATATTTTTAATTTATTCCCTAAATTCTAAAAATTTGTTTTTAAATTTCAAAACAGACACTGCCGGCGATGAGAAGATGAAGCCTTCTGGATCTAATGTCATCTTTAACCTACCGAAAGGTGCAGTATAGTTTTTAAAGATTTTTGAAAATAGAATTAGAGATTCTAAACATATTTTTATTAATATTTTATGCTTTATTTCCCAAATTCTAATAATTTGTCTTTTTTAAAATATAGACAATGCCGGCGATGAGCTGATGATGAAGCCTTCTGGATCTAAAGCCATCTTTAACCTACCGAAAGGTGCAGTATTGTTTTTAAAAATAGAATTAGAAATTCTAAACATATTTAATCAATATTTTAAGATTTATTCCCCAATTCTAACATTTTTTCCTTGTTTAAAATATAGACAATGCCGACGAGGAGCTGTTGATGAAACCTTCTGGATCTAAAACCATCTTTAACCTACCGAAAGGTGCAGTATAGTTTTTAAAGATTTTTGAAAATAGAATTAGAGATTCTAAACATATTTTTATTAATATTTTATGCTTTATTTCCCAAATTCTAATAATTTGTCTTTTTTAAAATATAGACAATGCCGATGAGGAGCTCTTGATGAAACCTTCTGGATCTAAGACCATCTTTAACCTACCGAAAGGTGCAGTCAATTTTTTAAAAATAGAAATCCTAAACCTATTTTTATCAATATTTTTAATTTATTCCCTAAATTCTAAAAATTTGTTTTTAAATTTCAAAACAGACACTGCCGGCAATGAGAAGATGAAGCCTTCTGGATCTAATGTCATCTTTAACCTACCGAAAGGTGCAGTATAGTTTTAAAAAATAGATTTAGAAATTCTAAACATATTTAATCAATATTTAAAGATTTATTCCCCAATTCTAAAATTTGTTCCTTTTTTAAAATATAGACAATGCCGGCGATGAGCTGATGATGAAACCTTCTGGATCTAAAATCACCTTTAACCTACCGAAAGGTGCAGTATAGTTTTAAAAAATAAGATTAAAAATCCTTAACATATTTTGATCAATATTTTTATGATTGATTTCCCAAATTCTAATAATTTGTCTTTTTTAAAATATAGACAATGCCGGCGATGAGTTGATGATGAAGCCTTCTGGATCTAAAACCAGCTTTAACCTACCGAAAGGTGCATTCGATTTTTTAAAAATAGATTTAGAAATTCAAACATATTTTTATTAATATTTTTATGATTTATTCCCTTTATTTTAATAATTTTTCTTTTTCAAAATATAGACGGCGATGAGCTATTGATGAAGGCTGCTGGATCTAAAATCAAAGACATACTGGCTATTGAACCCAAAACCACCCAGACTTTCTCCTCCCAGGCCACCACTACCCAAACCCCTGAATACCAACCACCAGGACCATCTGAAGCTGCTGTCCATGTTGAGACTAAAGTCGAGGGTACTCAGACCGCCACTACCCAAATCTCTGTAGTCCAACCACCAGGATCATCTGAAGCTGCTGTCCAGGTTGGGGCTGGTGTCCAGGCTGAGGCTGATGTCGAGGCTTTTGAAACATCCACCCAGCTTTTCTGGTATGTGGAGCACGGTCAGGCATATGGTGTTCCTTGCAAAGTCCTATCGGACCAACAATGCAAGTCGGACACTGACGACGACCTATAAGCAGAGATTCCGTCGCATTCCGACCAAAAGTTTCTAATAATTTTAAGAAACATTTAATTAAAAAAAAAAACAAAAAATTTTTACCTTAAACTGTGCCGAAAAGTGAAAGGCTGTGAATTGAAATAAAACATAAACATCTAAACAGGTATATACAAGAAAGTTTTATTTCACGATTTTTGGGTCGTTTCTTGATCATTTTTTTAAAAGTAATACAGACTGATCCACTTAATCGAATGTACACTGTAATGTAAAACCTAAAAACTAACTGATGCGTGTGTGTATAAATATTGGGAATTTCCTAAAATCTTTCCTATAAATTTTACAAATCTTTTTTTTTTCTTTTTCAAATATCTGGGATTTTTATAAATTTTGTTTATTTTTTATTTTTTTTTATAGATTCCTTTGTACGTTTTTTTTTGTCTCGTTTCTTTTTAAAGCTTAAAATTATGAGAAAGACAGGGATGGGAAATACGGCAGGCGTGGGAGTGTGAAAGAGATAGGTATCTTTCGGAAGGAAAGGTGATAGTTTGTGATGGAAAAACTGGGTGTATGACTATATCTAAGACCATATTTGCACTAGAAGCTAGCCGAGGCTAGAAAAAAAAAACTACGGCTCTCTCTCTCTCGGGGGAATGATTTATGGCGTTGGTTTCGGGCTCCAGGCTCCAGGCTCCAGGATCCATCCAGCATCAGCATCTTTTCAACCCAGTTTCCGACGTCGTGGCAACTGCAAGGGCAGTCCAGCTGCTCGGGACGCTCCGGATGTGTGGGCCATTACCGGCAAAGCTAATGCCACCGGCGCCGTCAGTCCACCGCCAGTATACTGCAAGTGCTGGACCACCGATAGCTGTGGTTGCTGCTGCTTCAGAAGCTTGGCAGCAGCATGGGCTTCTGCCGCCGCCACCGGATGTGTCAGACCCAGACCAAGTGCTCCTCCTTTCAGGCAGCTATTGCTGGTCCCATGCACGGGGCCATGGTTATGGCCATGCCCATGCCCTAGCCCGTGCCCGCCACTCTCGCAATCATCGTCGTCTGAGATCAGGGATATGCTGAGGTCACTGGACAGCTTTAGGGAGATGGGAGCCGGTGGCGAGGGTGTCACTAGTGGAGCCACCTTGGCGCGCAACGCCGGTGACAGTTTCTGCAGATGCTCCGGCATCAGATCGTGCGAGTACTCCGGCACACCACTGGAGGCCAGACCCTCGCGAAGTTTGCTCAGCGACAGCTCGTAGATGCGATTGGCAATGACCGTGTGCACGGTGGTTTCGTCCGGCAGACCACTGCTATTGATGTCCACTTCCAGGTAGCCATCACTGCCACTGTTCGAGGCACAGGCTGTCATTCCGTTGGTTGCTGTGGCGGGAGCTCTTCGACAGGTCTTAAGGAGACTGGTGGGCGGGTGGGAGTGCCGCTGTCGCGCCTGACAGTTGGCAGTGGTGGAGGTGCGCGGCACCAGCGATACTGTCACCTCCTCCACGGTGTCCGAGAGGCTAAGGGGCGCCAGGGGCGGTGGTGAACTCCTTCGCATTGCCGGCTGACTGTTGCCGATGGTGGTGTCCTCGTCATCGCTAGTTATGAGGATGCTCTCGGTCGCATAGTGTGGCCTGAGGTTACTGGCGGGTATTAACAACATATTGGGCTGCAGTACAAGCGGACGATGGTTGGTGGCAGGAACAGAAACAGCAACGGGTAGATGAACTGGGGCTGGGACTGCCACAGGGATGGGGTGGACTCGAGCCGGTCCTGGTTCGTCATCCTCATCCGATAGCAAGTCAATGGTGACGTCTGCGGGCAGGGTGGCGGCTATGTGGCGACCTGGCCGTCGCCTCACCCCCCGACCTCGCCCTCGGGCGCGTTCAGTCTTGGAGGTGAGCGCCTGGGAGCGCATCTGGGCCATCACTTGCCGTTGGCGCTCCCTCAGGCGTTCCATCCACCGGCAGCGGCGCCGCTTCAACCGCTTGTTATCAAACAGCCGGGGGGATATGTAAAATGGTTCGGAATGTCTCTGGTTCATGTCTGTTTTATTGTTTGTTTTCATCGTCGAGCAGAGAAACAAAAAAAACAAAAACAAACAAACGATTAGAAATGAAAAGATTGCAAGGATTTGTATTCCCAAAAACAAATACTAACTGGTTGTGGTTGCTCCTCCTCGATGCGGTCAAGGATCATGGGCCGAACGGGATTGGATCTTCCTCTGGGGCACTGCCACTTCCACTTCCACTACCACTTGGGGTGCTGCCACGGGTGGCGAGGCGGGTACAGTTAGTTCTGCGGCTGCAACTTGCATAATTGCGTCAGAGAGTTGCGCTCCAGGGCGCTGCACTTGCTCGCAATGGCGGCTCTGCGGTCGTAGGCACTCGGCCCCCGCCGCACTATGCTTCCTAAGGATCAAAATATCGAGCCTTATCGTTTATTATTTGTCAACTAGAAAGATTAAAAAACAAGTTGCGACGCCAAAAAACTTGTGTCGATTCTCAACATTGCTTTCAACACGTTTCACAATACTGATTAAACGAAAACGTTGTAGGGTGTTTATCAACACACTTTTCCCACCCTCATAGTACTATCGATAGTTAAACCAATCGAATAATCGTTTTTGAAAAAAGGCGCGCTCTTATTTAAATTTTAATGTTTTTAAGAAAAACATTTTTTATTAACTAAAATAGTTTTAAAAATTATTTACATACATTTTTAATTGTTTGGTATTTAAAAAAACTTATAATAGAATTATAATAGTTGAAAGACCTTAGATAAATCTTAGAAAACGCCCACTGCTTTTTGTTTAATTAAAAATCCACTCAATTTCATTTTGGCACCACCCCCAATTGTGAGTTTCACTCATTTGGCGCCGGCGCTTCGTTTTTCATGTGCCTTTCTCCAAGCTTTCACTCGCTTCCGGTATAAGCTTTCACTCCGCCCCACAACCATATTGGCGGCACGAACTCCCGCTAAAGGCAGTTGGCCATTCGTCGTCTTCTGCCACGGATGCCAGAAGAGGATGTTACGGAAGAGGTTATCCTTTGTTTTAAGGAGTTTACTTTGTATATATTTTAAGTTTTTAAAAAGAAGTATGAAAAACAAACACTAAGCTAGGTTATTTTGGTTTTTAACATACTTTTAAAAGGAAAGTCGGTTTTTGTTTGTTTTTAAAACTAATAGAAAGCTTTATTTATGTAAAAATTAAATATTTTTTAAAAGTAAAATCTTTATAAATTTTTGTTTTGTTAATTAAACTTTAAATTCTGCTTATATCTCGACTTGGTTATGATTTTAAGGGACAGTTTTTTATAAAAAACATAATTATATTATTTTTTCTTACAGATTGCGATCGTTTCTTTTTAAGAAACTATTCAATTGGTTCATTATTTAATTTGCCGATCGTGAGGATATATATTAGCGATACTACAGAAAAAAATTATTTAAAATTCAAGCAAATTCCTTAAAAAAAATCTATAATTTTAGACATGAACAATGTATCTTCTTTTTCGAATTCGTTTAAAATTACATCTTTTAAATAAATTTTTAAAAATATTACATGTCTCTTATTAATGTTTATAATTATATCTACAATATCCTAAAAATATATCCTAAACTATATCCTATATCCAATATCCTAAACCCCACAAAACAGGTAGTTTATATATTATTATGCTTATTTTCTGTTTAAAAAAAACCTAAGAAATTCAAAAAATTATTTTAAAATCAACAAACATTCAAAAAAAAGCCTTAATTACCAATATTGCCTTAAAAAATAAATAGGTTAATAACAAATCTATGAAATCCCTATTCCACCTCTATTTTACAAAAAAAAAAGTATTCCTAGTTTAAGGATCATTTTCCCAACAGGATTCAGGATTCAGTAAAAGCGCGCGGTTAGCTTTAAATGGCAAGTGGGAATCGACAGGCGCGGAATCGGGAATCCTGCAACACCCAGGACCCCAGAGTCCTCCAATAAGCTGCCGCGGGATGGGGTGGGAGGAAAAAAAATAGGGCGGGCGAGTGGTGGGCGCGGCAGATCCGATTTCCGTAATTCACGCGAATGGCTCATTTCCCCAGAAGGAAGAAGGAGCGTCCCCCCTCGAACTGCATGTCCTTGGCGAAGGCTAGCAAGCAGACGAGGGGGGAGGGGGGGAGTAACCGGGCTAAATGGCAGACCGAGCAGTCGTAAGACAATAGACAGGAACCACAACAAAAATTATAGACCCAAGGCCTGAGACTCTCACGGCTCTGGTTCCAGTTACCGTTCAAAGGACTCCCTGCACCTTCACCGGTACCGGCACCGGCACCGGGTCCTTTTGACTGGTTTGTGTTGTGTTTGCGGAGGATTGCACTTTGCCCGTTTAAATCCGCCAAAAAGGATGGTCGGGGGTCCCGGAGGTAACGGCAAGGATAAGGCAGCCGCATCTTGGCGCACCACACGCAGCCGTAATCGACTCGTCCTGGCTCTGGCTTTGGCTCGGGCTCTGGTTCAGGATCTCCAACTGTTCCTGCTCCTGCGGCAGGACCCTGCTCTGTGCCGGCAAAACGTTTCCTGGCAGCACCCACGCCACCATGCGCCATCCCCCGCTGTTGCATTAAAATGAATTCCTTTTCTGCAAAAGGACAAGGGCGGCGACTACGACGACGGCGGCGGCGGCGGAGGAAGTCCTGAAGTCGATTTGAATGAATGCACGTCCTTGCTGCTCATCCGGGTGGTGGTGGAGGTGGAGGTGGAGTTGGAGGTCCTGCGACTCTATACTCCTTGCTTCCTCAAGTGTTTGCCTTTCTCAGGTGTTGAGTAGAGTTGAGTTGGCATTGTCCTTTTTGTTTTTGTTGTTTTTGTTGTTTTCTACCATAGTCTGCCGGCGTTGTTTTGCTTTTGCAAGGACTCCACGTCCTGTTTTTTATTTTATTTTTTATTGTGTTTTGGCATTACGCCAAATGTGCAAAGCCAACAAAATACCAAAAGATTGCACATTGCACCTGTCCTTGGAGCCCCCACCCTTCCCCCCTCCTATTTTTGGCAATGTTTCCTGGTCCTGCATCCTGAATCCTGCTTGATATCCCCTGCTACTCCTCCTCTCAGACGGCCAGCTCCATTGATGAGGCCTGTGCTGAGCTGTTGCTGATGTGGCTGCCGCATCGGTTACTTTGATGATCCTCCAGAAGTACTCCAAGGATTACCCCCACTACGTCCATGTCCTTTTTTTTTGTTTTTTTGATAAACGATGGGTGCTTTTAGTTTTTTGTCTTAGGTTTTGGAATCGCTGCTGGGCTTGAATCGAAGTTACCCACTTAACTGGGGCAACTCCTTATGTTCACAGGATTAGGGGGCTTTTCAGGGGAGTGTATTAGTCGAGTCTATGTTACCACACATGGAGATGGAGGATTAGCGGCTTTAAGGATTCAATTTCCAAAGCCTATTAATTATTTCTAAAATCGGGGATCAAGTTTAAAGGTGATTTGTAATAGAAATCTTTCTTGGAATTATATGTAGAGGGGCGCTGTCTCATAATGTACGGCTATTAACTCCCATCACTAGCTTTTATTTATCGATAACACTATTACTTATATTCTAACCTTAAAAAAACCCTAAGAAACTATCTTTAAAAGTCATATTTAAACCCTTTTTTTGTGCAGTGCACTCTGCATCTTTTGTTAAGGATCTTAAAGCCCCGGATCTGAACAATTAAAGGCCAGGACCCCTGAATCCTTGTAGCTCAATGACATTATTATAATTATCCTGCAGGTGGAATGACTTGCTACCAATTCCGGAGACAGGACACAGGACACAGACTTCTAAGTGGACACAGATGGACGGCATCAAAGGTATCTTACAATATGTATCTGTATCTTTAGATGTAGATGTATCTGTTAGATGGAAACAGTTATAAATGTAGCAATGTAACAGTATCGGTGACAAGTGGCAGGCAACGGTAAGTAGAAATTTGCGTCAATAGGATTGTTAAAGAGGCTTAAGTTAAATGGGAAAACTTCCGAATCAATGAACCGCAAATTGCATGCGAAATGCCAAAACGAAAATGTCGCCGACCAGTTCTCTGTCTCTGTATCTGTGTGTGTGTGTGTGTGTGTCCTGCATACATGTCCTGGTCGAGTCCTGGCTGGCGGTGTGTGGGTTGTACTTCCAAAACGAAGTTAACTGAAGTCGCAGCCAAAAATAAACAAACGCGTCGCAAAAATGTATTTATACAGGCATCCTTCTCCATCCCAGTGTGTGAATCCTTTTTGCAACATCCTTGCCATATGACCAGCGGAAGGACCTCTAGTGCAATAAATATCTCTTTTTCGGCCACTTGCAGAAAACGCTTGTAAATCCATTCTACCATATGAGAATCGAATCGAAGCCAAGTATACATATACATATTTCATAAATTTGGTTTGTTCTTTCCCGTCTGAGACCGAGTGACAGGGGGACAAGGACGAGACTTAGTGCCAGGACGCAGGATCCAGGACCTCACTCACTCTCTGATAGCCAAGTTAATGGCAATTTCATTTCACCAGCCGAGTTATCAGCTGCAAGGCGATGGATTGAATTTCGCGAGTTTTCATCTTCATCTTCCCGAAGAAGACACTTCTTTTGGAGATGGATCGAAATGGAAACGGGTCTTGGCACTATAGAGAGGGGGTATACTTGGGGTTCAAGGAATAGGTCTGAAAATTTTGTAGATTTGTTTTTTGGAAGTAAACTTTAGGATCTTCTTGTCTTTATTACTCTATATCATCTAGAACTGTGTATTATAGTATTTTTAATAAGATAATAATCTATTGTAATAGTATAGCTCCCTTCTTTAAAGATCTGAAAGGATTATAGATCTAAAAACCTTGGATTATTTTTTGGAAATTAACTTTATTAGAATCCATCATATTAAGATAACTTCATCTATTATTTCATCCTAGAGTGTACTCTTGCTAATCTGGTCGAAGGATACGTGATAGCGAGTATGTGTTCGTGTGCAAGTTTGGATGTTGGGAGAGTCCTGGAAGGGAGTTGGGCCTGCGACGTTTGTCTGTGTATTATCCTTGGTAATGCATGCAAAGATGCTGCAAAGTAGCTTAATACTTTATGCTCGCAATGAAAAGCCTTTTTACGATCGCATTATGCTTGTACCTCCTTATATTCCTTATATATATATGAAAGATGTATCTATATTTGGCGACTATTCGATACACAGCCCACACTTTTTGGTGGAAGTTTTATTTTTATTTTTTTTTTTTGTGGGAATTGTAAGTGTGCTTGCATTAAGTTGTTCATGGGGATGGGAAGAAGGTCGGTCCTTACCAACTTACCACCCACTTTCTCGTATCGCATTTTACAGCAGGGTGCATGTTAAATGTGCGACACCATGTCGTATGAGTGATATCCGCAGTACATAAACTATGCAGTAAATAAGTTTATTATCGCAGCTCTTATTTCCGCTGCCTTGAATTCAATATTGGGAAAGTTCTACTTTATTTTTTTCTTCCATTTTACGTCCAAAAGGTCGGCA